GGCTGCCTTTTACTTTACCATTGGGTAGCCACTTTTGGAGCTACTTTTATCTTCACTGTCAATGGAGATACCAAACCAATGCACTATTCAGTCTCCATAAGCGGTGACACCACAAATATGTTCCCATGACCTAGTCTTTAAGCAGTTGCTGTTGTAGTCTGAAAGCTTGTGATTGTCAGGCAGAAATTGCTTTTGGGGGTTCACAGATAGATAATCTTCCCCCATCATGGCCAGGGAAAAGTCTCTTCCTACTGGGCAGATGTTCATAAGATTTCTATGAGTATTTATATTCTGTGCAGTTCTACTGCCTAATCCACACCTAGTGGACAGTAACATGACAACTAGACTGAATATTCAAGTATGAATTGTTGATGGTGATACACAGGAGTGCTAAGTGCAGCTGAGAAGTTGTACAGCTGTCAAGGGAAGACAACCGTAAAAGAATATTAAGGAAAAAAAGGGTCCTTTTAGTAAACTATTCTTTCTGAAGAGCAGAAGGGCAAGTTTGAAAGTTAATATTCAAACAGGTAATTAGCTAATTTAATTCCTGCCACTGTGTACTCTTCTCCCTTTTTAAGGTGTGGTCAGGAAGACATTTGTTACTTTCTTCTTACCACATTCCTCTTGTGGATCTTTTCTTCTTTTAAAGAGTTATCTAAGCATCATGAGGTGCCAGAAATGGCTTGCACTTACAAAAACAGAGAACACTGTGCCAATTTATCTCAGTAGTAGTTCAAGGAAGTGGGCAAGCCAAGGGAAGAAACAGACCTTGTGATTCAGTATATATGCACAAATTTAGACTGACTGGGAATTTGGTCTGTTGGACACAATTCTAAAAGCGAAAGGTTGCTCTAGATGAGGAAAACCAGGTTTTAAGAAATCATCTGACTCCATTTCTGGCTGAACAGTAAGCTTATAAGCATGCTAGCCAGGTTTGTAGAGTAGACTATACAATATATATACACTCTAAGCTATGAGTAAAACAGCTGTCTACCTTAGCTTAAGTTACTTTGCCAAAAAATTTGTTTTTCCCCAGTTCAGTTTTGCTACTATGGAGATGCTGAATAGAAAGTAGAAAGATGAATTGGTGGAATTATGTAGCTCAGTAATACAAATAAGCAAATAGCTTGCTTGTTTTGGGAGTCTTAACATTTTCTAAGTTGAGCTTTTCACTGTTGCATGTAAGCTTCAGTTAAAGATTATTCTTTGACAGTTCGATCAGTGTTTAGTAGTACTAACACCTAAACGTGCTGATCCTTGACACAAGCATGATCTTAATACTCATTCAAGTCAATTAATTCAAGGTTGCTAGTTAAGTTCAGAGCTAACCTTAAGAATTGCATCTTAGTCTTATCTTAAAAAAAAGTTGCAAGTTTTCCCTCAGCAGTAAAATAATCCACACATCAATTTTAACTTCAACAGTTCAGGTCTCCAGTGATTAGCAGTTCCTGCACCCAAGGAATTTAACATTTTTAAGGCTTACCTTGGCAGAGGTTTCAAACCACCCAACGAAGCCGCCTTCTCTGCAGAATTGGTCCATTTGAGAGAGATTCTGGCTGCCATCCTTTTTCTGGTCACACTTATTTGCAAGAAGAACTGCAGGGATGGGACTGCCATTGGGAAGTAGCACTTTACTGTCCAAATCATGCTTCCATTTTGAAACAGCCTCAAAAGTGGAGCCTCTTGTGACATCAAAGACCACAAAAGCCCCAACTGCCTCTTTGTAGTACACTCGTGTCATATTTCCAAAACGCTCCTGGCCTGAAAGACAGTGACAAAGCATTCATTTTTAAGCAACAACTGCAGTAGAGATAAACGCATTTCAGTGCCAGGTTAGTAAATATGAGTCTAGCATTTAGAAGCACTTCCCCAGTTTATAGAATATAGCCCTGCGGCTGCCATCCTGTGTCAGCTCTTAGTGAGCTATTATGCATGCCATGCATGACAAGAATCAGATACCCATTGCCTTGCATTTCCAATACTATTTCACTTTTTTTTTTCCTTATACTTCCTTGTGAAGTAGCATTCTATAAGAGAAAAAAAATCATGACTAAAAATACTACCAGCACAACTGCTCCCAAGTCTTTTTTTCCCCCCCCCTCAGAGAAAGCTCCTACATACCTGAGGTAGTAGCTTGGTTTTTTCGTATAAAACCTGTAATGTATTTCCCATAGGGATAAGCTGAGAAGGAGTTCTACATAAGACTTTAGTTTCAGTTTTTGAGTTTGAGACTCTCTGGAAGTCAAACCATAGGCTTCAAACTACAGCGAGCAGTCACAGGATTTGGTGCAAGATTACCAAGACAATAAAAGGACAGTTATTCACAACAAAAAAGCCTCCATATTCTAAGGAGCAGAAGGATCAAGCCCCCACTCTGTGAGTAAGGCTTACAGCTGCGATACCAGAAGGGCAACATTTGTCTTGTAGCAGAGCAGAAAATAAGACAGACAGATCAATCTCCTCACAGAGAGTCCTGACCAAGGGAGAGGCCACTGCGAGGAAGGTTGTTATAACCAGGCACTTTGGGAAAACACACAAGCTGAGGTTGATTGAGATAGCTTTTCTCCTTATTGTATGGTACAACAGTGCTTCCAGTGGGAAAGCAAACCCACAACAGAACCACACTTTGCTTTGAGACCAGTTTGTGCTCTAAAGCATCCACTTGAAAGAAATGCTCCAGCTCTTCAGGAGAAGTTTGAACTTCCAGCTGGTTTGTTGACAGAAAAAGTTATTTGCTCTTCCACTAAAAGTTTTACATTCGGAATAACATTAAGACATACTCTTCTGTACTTTAAACTTAGGTGAAAGCAGATAAAAGTCCATAGGCCCATAAAAATGCCTATTGAATTTCAGTTTTGCATGCAAGGGTTTGATATTCCCTTCCCTTGAAAACCACTTCTGTTATTTCAAATTAATGCCTTTTGGTAGCCCAGATATGCTCTAGTATGGAGTGCTCCTCTGTTCTCAAGTAGTCCAAATGTCATAAGCTTTTTTAAATTACATAGAGAACTGCTTTCACCTTATTTGCATGCATTGATATTAGACTTGACCCCCATGCTAGTTTATGACTTCTTTTTATATTATCTGGTGTCTTATAAGGAAGTGACTGTTCTTTTTATTAATCTAAATAAAGAGATAGCGGAACATGGCTTGCCTAAGAAGGAAAAGATTTTTGGCAATAGGTACCCAACATAAGGCGGGAAGAGAGCATCCAGTACTAACTGATGAGACTTTCCATACAACCCAGTTACTACCAACAGTGCACATGCTTTAGGCTGAGCCTCCCAAGGAAGAAGCAAGAAGATTCTTGCCAGCCTTTTGAAAATTTGATAGGACTTTCAGGCAAAGCTCTTGCAAGTGCTTTTCTGCTTGCAAAAAGGAAAAAAAGCTCTACACAAAAGCAAACTATAGAATATTTTACTCCTCTAAAGTCTGCCAATTCTGTTTCAAACTGTAAAATGACCATGCCCTGCTCAGCCAGTGACTTGTCACCCTCCCTTCCCAAGGAGGGCAGAACTTTTGTTGTCTCCTCACATGGCAAAATGATTAACATTGAGCAGTACATAAGGTAGATCAGACCCCCAGAGGGAAAAAGGATAAAAGTGATCAGAAGAAATTAAGACTTAAACTCAGGGTACATAGAATCATGAAAGGAAGGGGATGGGAATAAAGCTACTTACTTACAGCAGCACTGCAGAAAAGACTTTATAGGATTAAATACAGTGGTAGGTCTAGTTCCTTGACACAAGCCTAATGGTACCAGAAGGGTATCCATACATATTTGAGGGAATGACTGGCTGAGCTATAGAACAGCCCTTGACATTAGTTTTTTTTAAGGATAGGACAGTGGCCACATGCAAGAGTTCTGCATTCTCTAACCACATAGTTTTCACATCTAAATGACTCAGCACACTTTGTCACCTTATTTTCCAGTAATTGCAACAACATTAAGTAAAATAATTGCATAATGTCATACATGGGGAACTAATGCAGTTCCATGCTGCAGAATCATAGCAAGTAAGTTTAAATTAAACTATCAGTGCTTAAGAGCTTTTCCTTATTTTCCAACTTAAACTTTAGCTCTTCTTAAACTTTAGCTCTTCTAAAATGTAAGAGCTAGAAGACACACACACAAAAAAATTATAGCCAGTTCTATTACTTCTCCACAAAAGTTAAGGCATTTAAAAGGACAACAAAAGGTTATCACAAGTTTCAGAAAATACAAGCCTTTTCTTGAAAAAGAGTTAAAAGTTCCTTACAGCCATCTTCCCCAGCCTAAGGAATAAGCAAGGGAGTCCCATTTATCATGGCAGTGAGACTGATCATTGTGCCAGTTTTGTTTTAGTTAACAGTAGCTACCCTGTGCTAACATTATTCTGCTCCTAGCTCCTGTTTGAATTGATGAAATAGATTTAGCAATCACTTCTGAATCTATCATGCTATAAAGTTTCCTTCTCCCAAATTACTTACCATACTTAAGGGTAGAATTAAGTCTTAAAGACTGCTATGCATACAAGCATAAACCGTAAGTAATGTAGAACAAAACTGTCAGTCTAGAAAAAGCTTCTCCAACTCTATTTTTGCTATGGAAGCGAGTTTTGTCTTAGCCTGTTCTACTGTTGGAATTGACAAGAAACTCACCTACCTTGTAAAAGCTAAGCTTAGTCTGTTCTGAAACCATGCAGCTCTGAGAGAAAGCAGATTTTAGTTACATGTAAACCCTTATAGGGTATCAGAAGTAATACCACTGGACAAAATCTAAAAAAGAGTCACCAATGAGACCAACTACCAAAAAATCTTCCCGAACATGGATCATTAAAAGATAAGCAGGAAGATAACCCAAGGGTTATAAAACCCCCCAAACTGGAAGAATGATGGAACAAATAATTTCTTTTGCTTAGCTCATGTTAGCTGAGGTCTTCTTTGACAAGGTAATCAGCTTAATGGATGGTCAGAAAGTGATATTGGACTATCTGATGTGGAGCTGTCAAATTTATTGGTCTTAAAACAAGTCAAACTGAATCCAGACTGAAATCACTCCCCCTAAAAACGCAAGTGCACAGCTAGCTGAAGAATTTTACTTCAGAGTTGTTTGCTGTCAACTGGAAGAGCACTGTTTAAGAAGTTTTGCAATTCTCCTCTGAATCCAATAATAATGAATTTTCTGGTAAGTAGTGAGGAATTCTCAAATATGAATAAGACCAAGCAGTTACTGCTAGCATTTTGTCCTTTGGAGTGATAAAACTCAGAGCTCAGTTAATTTAAAAGTCAGTTTAAGTTCAATAGAAAGTAAAGGAATATTATATAAAGATACATAAAATAAAGCCAAGATATCTACCAGCATTACAGCAGTTTAAAGAAAAAAACAACAAAACACCCACAGCATAATCAAGAGACCTAGGGGATCAAAAATTGAGCAAGTTAAGGTACATTGAAATTGCATCCTGCTAGGGTGTTTGAGATACTGTTTTTCTGTCAGCAGGTAAACCTCAAATACAGTACTCTATCCTGCAATGAATTTGATACTTATTAAAACACACCAGATAAGTATAACAAACAGCTTAATTCTGTAAATAAGTAAATACTCTATCACAGAGAGAGCTCTTTCTCAAAGATCAGCTGTTCTACATGAACATAGTCAATCCTAGTTATTCTAAAATTCAAGAAGTATCAACACCAACAGCAAGACTCCTTATAGGCTTCTTGGCTCATAGTTAAAATGCTTAGATAAGCCTCTCAGATGCTGAGCGATTTTACATTTGCTTACCATAAGATGGTTACAATGACTACACAAATTGATCTTCACTACACAAACCTCAAGATCAATATTTAGCAAGTTATTTATAGATCTGTGCCCCAAAGTTGATATAGCTTTTCTCCAAATTCTTCCTTTTTGCTGGCTACAGCAAATTTCTCTAAAGGCAGCATAACACACTGCTATACCGCCAATACTTCTAGTATTCAGCACACTACTTACCAACAACATAGCAGAAGAACTGAGGGAGCTAGTAGAGGTATACTGGGATACCAGTAAGCTTTTTTAAAGCAGTTGAGGAGAAGTTTGAAATAGCCTTTTGAAAACTCAGTAAATATCAGCACTGAACTATTGATATGCAGTGCGAAAAGGGAAAGAATGTTAAGCTATATTTCAGTGCATTAGGGATGGAATATTTGGTGTACATGCATGAACATTGTAGTGCAAATAAATATTCTGCAAGAGCAATATAAACATAGTCATTAGAGGCCATCTAAAGAAATAAAGTTAAAAAAAAAAATAGAACTCAAATTTTAGCACAGTCTCAGCAAGGCTGGCACTATGCTCGGTAGCACCTGTCTCCCGTAGAGGAGCCTTAGAATTAAGTACCTCTTATTTGAAACCAAAATACCCAGCTCCCAGGCCAGAAAGTTATACAAATCAGCTAGATTATCAAACTGACTTAGAAATACTAGGAATAATGAGCAGCAACCTTAGTTTATACCTAAACAGTCCCTAGACAGGCATCTCTGCTAGTCTCTTCTGAGGGCAACCTCCCACCACCACCACCTGGGCTTTGGTTCATATGTACAGACTGCTCATGGTGTGAAGCGACTTCCTCTTGGCAGCAAACATGCTTCACACCTGGGACAGGCAACTCACAGGGCCAGACTAGCTCTAGCTGGACTGCATGCACTATGGCTATCAAGTCCTCACTATCAGCCCTCCCTTGGCCATTCTGCTTGCTAAGGTAGACAGCACCTCTGTTCTGTTCCTAGCTCCAAAACTACAAGTTAGTTCTTTCGAAC